TATTTTTGAGAGAGAGAGTGCAAGTGGGCGAGGGGCAGAGAGAGAGAGAGAGAGAGAGGGAAACCCAGAATCTGAACCAGGCTCCAGGCTCTGAGTTGTCAGCACAGAGCCTGATGAAGGGCTCAAACTCACAAACTGTGAAATCATGACCTGAGCCAAAGTCAGATACTTAACCTGACTAAGCCACCCAGGTGCTGCTCAGGGTGTTTTTTTGTTTTGTTTTGTTTTTTAAAGAAAAAGCTTCCAGTATGGAAGAGGGTTGAGAACCACTTGTCTAGATTGAGTTTTATTGTTTCCCTAACCTTGGCCCGCTCTTCTGTGACTAGTTCTAAGAAGAGCTAGCTAACCTCAGGCTTACCTTCTAAATTACGTTGCCAATTGGCAAATAAGGAATTGGGGAGTCCAGGAAAATAGCCCTTAGTTTCCAATTTGTATAGCAAAACCAGCCATGATAAATGAAAGGGGATGCTCCTCTGTATTTTTTTTAAATGGAAAGAAAAAAATACCTCTGCCCCTAACCCATGTTTCCTGTGCTGAATGAGAGGTAGACGAAGAAGTATCACTCACCCATGATGCAGTTTGTCTCTTTTCCAGCCAGTGCGTTGGTAATAAAAGCTTTCCCTATAATGCCTGTCTTTCCTGTGTCCCAGAATAACCTGTCGCTTAGCCTTGGCTTAGCCCAGCCAGTCTACTGGAGGATGGGTAGAAGGTTAAAGTGGAAAGGGACCTGGAAGCTCATTGAATCCAGGCCTCTTGTTTAGCAGCAAGGAACCGGAGGTTCTGAGGGATGGAGAAGGATTTCTTCCAACTGAAATCCCTTCATTGTTAATACATTGCCTTCCCCTCCATTGGTCCCCTATCCTGCTGCTGCCTGTTTTTAATAGTCTGATTTGTATCTGGAAGCAAACATTTTGCTTCACAGATTCCTGCTTGGGGAGGAGAGGCTCCCAGTTGGTCACTGTACAGAACAGGTCTGTCAGCTTGATGCAGGTGTGAGGCAGTCCTCACCACCAGGCTCTGCAGGTCAGCCTCAGGAGGAGGGCTTCAGGCACCAGCTTCTGATGAAAGGAAGGAGCTCCCCCCGACCC